GAGTCTCCAGGAGGGAGAAAATGGCTTCCCTGGGCTCCGGAGGCTTTCCTCGAGCCTCCAGGAGGGAGAAAATGGCTTCCCTGGGCTCCGGAGGCTCTCTGGAAACCAAGGAAGCCATTTTCTCCCTCCTGGAGGCTTGAGGAAAGCCTTCGGAGCCCAGGTAGGGCAAAAACACCCCAGCCGTGGTGCAGGAGGTCGAGTAGGCCACACCCACCCAGCAACCCAGGCCAAGAACCCATTGCTAAAAATGTTTGAAGCCTTATTTACCGTTTCGCTGTGCCTTTACAGACCCATAAAGGCCTTTATAGAATCAGCCTATTGCCCTCAACACTCTTGAGTCCTGCTTTTGTTGACCTGGGAAGGATGAAAGGCTGAATCAACTTTTGAGTCTCTCGCCCTCGAACTGCTGGCAGCCTGCGGCAGTCAGCAGAAACAGCCTGCAGTACTGCACTCTAACCCCTGAGCCCCCGCGGTTCATAGATGCTCAAGCAATCCGGGGATACACCTGACTGAGTGTCCATTTCTGGTTCTAGGGGAAGTCAACTTTACAATAACAGCAGAGGCCCTGAAATCCACCCAGCTCTGTGGGAACGAAATTGCGGAAGTGCCTGCCAAAGGACAAAGGGACATCGTGATCAAAACCCTGCTAGTCGAGGTACGTACAGGCTGCTCTCGTGTGTGGTGAGGGCAAGGATGGAGTTGAGGGTAATGATATATTAAAGCAAGAGTCATGTTTCCTAGTAAATTAAGTTTTCTTGATGACAGCGTGAAAGGGGTTGGTTTTGGTTGTTGGAGGAAATATCCATCTGGTTCAGTTCCAAGTGGGGAGATACTGAAAACACGGAGTCTGATTGGAAAGATAGTTTATTAGTGAAGCAGAAAGATATGGGTGGTTCTGGGCAGCTGACCACATGGGCCTGAGAGTTGAGTGGCTTTTATACCCTCTCTTGAGCTTTGCCCTTGAGCTTCCTGTTCCTGTGGCAAGAGCATGTATTCTTTTGGCTGTAGTCAGAGGTCATAGATAACTTTGCAGGTTACCTGAGTCAAGCTTGGTTAAAACTTGGGCTGATGCAACGCAGTTCCTATTGTGGCTGAATGGCTTTGCCCTTTACCCAGCTTCCATCGTCATAGGAGATTTTTTTTTAAATTCAGAAAATAAGTTAGGAATTTTAAGAAATATCTAACATTCATTTTCACTTTTCCCCTCTTCTTCTCTTTTCATAAAGCCTGAAGGAATCGAGACGGAAGTGGCCATCAACAAGTTGCTATGTGGAGCCAGTAAGTATCAACCAGCAGCCCCCACTTTCTTCTTGCCAAATTTGAGAAACACGGCTCTACAGTATGATCCTTTCATGTATATGTATAAAAAAACCTCTTTAAGCAGACTCCTTCTGGTAGAGAAAGAGAACTATATGGCTCCTATAGCATAGGGGTGGGTAAACATGCAGCCATAGAGCCCTGGTGGTGCAGTGGTGAGAATGCAGTATTGCAGTCTAATTCTGCTGACTGCCAGCAGTTTGATTTTCACTGGTTCCAAGATTGACTCAGCCTTCCACCCTTCCGAGGCTGGTAAAACGAGGACCCGGATTGTTGGGAGAAGTAGGCTGACGCTGTAAACCCCTTAGAGCTGTAAAGCACTGTGAAATGGTATATATTGTAAATCTAAGTGCTACTGCTATCGCCCAGAGGGTGATAGCGAATCTATAGCACGCAGAGCCATTTGTGCCGGCACGCGAGCCGCAGGCAAACTTACCTCACTGTGTATGTGTGCACCACACGGCTGATTTTTTTGGGGGGGCTGGTTTGAGGCCTTTTTCGGCCTCCCAGAGGCTTGAAAAAAGCCCCTGCCGGGATTTGCAGGACGAATAAAGGGCCTGTTTCATCATTTCCTACAATACCGGAAGTGACGAAACGGGCCTATTATTCGTCCTGCAAAGCCTGCATAGGCTTTTTTCAAGACTTTGAGGAGGCCGAAAATCAGCTGTGAGGTGCAGTGCAGGTAAGGGAGGGATTGTGCGCGCATGCGCAGGGGGCGTGAGGGAGGTGCGCATTGCCTTCTGGATGGTGGCACGCAAGCGCAAGCACGCGCACGATTTTTGGCACAGGAGCCCAACAAGGTTAGCCACCACTGGCCTAGAGCTACAGGTGAGTCCAAGAACTTGTGAAATCTAAAGGAGAGGCCAATTCTTAAATGTCCCTATCCATTGGATTAAATAATGGGTACTAGAGATAGCCGGAAATGAGAAAATTAGCAATAAAAGAACAAAGAGGCTCAATCCAGACTGTCTTTTTTTTTTTTTCCTCCTTGCTTGCAGAAAACAACCAACCCACAACTATTCCCTTAAAGGTCCCAGAGAACATCGTGGAGAAATCTGCCAGGGCTACCTTCTGTGTGTTGGGTAAGTGATGCACTATGGCAAGAAAATGTGTGCAGGCTGCTATTCCTTCTCCTGGGGGAAGTAAAGGTAAAAAGTTTTCCCGTCTGGTTATGTCCAACTTTAGGGGGCACTGCTCGTTTCTGTTTTTTAGCCAAGGGAGAAAGCGTTGTCCAAAGATGCTTCCGTGATCATGGCGATATGTGTGGAGGCGATATGTTGAGGCACACGGTTAACCTTCCCTCCTAAGTGGTGCCAATTTATCTAACTTGCGCTTGCATGCTTTCAAACTCCTAGATGGGCAGGAGCTCATCCCATCCCGCAGCACTTGGGTCTCCAACCTGGGTTGTCACTTTTCTAACTAATAAGCTGAGTGTCTCTAACCGCCTTAAAATGTTCCAAGGGGTCTTTTAGGAGGAGGTTTTCTTGGAAAGCTGTGTGTTTGGTGATGAGATACAGCCAATATGCAAACACTAATAAACATATTTACAGACCCCTCACATCCTGGACATAAACTGTTTCAACTCCTACCCTCAAAACGAGCACTGCACACCAGAACAACTAGACACAAGGACAATTTTTTCCTGAATGCCATCACTCTGCTAAACAAATAATTCCCTCAACACTGTCCAATTATTTACAAAGTCTGCACTGCTATTACTGTTAATCTTCTCATCACTCCTTATCACCCATCCCCTCCCACTTGTGACTGTATGACTGTAACTTTGTCGCTTGTATCCTTACGATTTATATGGACTGTTTCCTAGTATGATTTGATTGCTTATTGTATCCTATGACTATCATTAAGTGTTGTACCTTATGATTCTTGACGAATGTATCTTTTCTTTTATGTACACTGAGAGCATTTGCACCAAAACAAATTCCTTGTGTGTCCAATCACACTTGGCCAATAAAAGAACTCCATTTTATTCTAATATTATATTACTTCGTGCAAATGTCTCTGCAGCTTTTTATTAAATGTACTCAGAAGAATGGATCTTGCTAGGAGTGTGAACCGTTTGTTAGTAGAACAGACAATCTTAGAAAGATGGATGTTTTTGCTTTCAAGAAGAGACCAGAGAGACCCACAGACTTCATAAGCCAATTCTCAGTTTTCCTGAAGAACCACACAAGTGAGATGCTGTTTGGAGGCACACCGAGAAATACTTCCATTTAACAATAAACAGTCTGGCCAGTGCAACTGGTTAAAAACCAGAAGCAGCCTGAGACACACACACACACCTCTGATCTCATTTTGAAAAGCCTTTAAAACTTGTTTTTCTGCCAGGTGGATGGCAGGGTCCTTATTAGCACTTGTTGTGGCCTGGGATATGCCAGATCTTCTGTGTTCACTTAGTTATAGGTTGACTGTTGGTGCTAGTTTATCTGTTTTTTTGCACTGTCTGCACACCAGCCAGAGATGTTTTGGCATGGGCAGCTGTGCCAGGATCTAAGACAACTCACCGCAGTCAACTTGCCATGGCCAACTCACCGTAGGGCAATGTACTCCCACCAGGACAAGAATAAAGAATGGTAGAATAAAGTCAATAAAGAACGGATGCCAAAAGAAGAACAAAATGAAATGTGAATGACCAAAATTAAAATATTTTAAAGCTTATTTTAAATAGTTACATTGACTTATTGAATTGTCCTGCGGCGAGTTGATCTGCAGCTCTTGCAAGAGGCAGGAACTTCAGGTAATCATGTAAAGTGAGTTGACTGTGGCAAGTTGGCCATGGTGAATTGGCCGTGGAGAGTTGGCCATGGAGAGTTGGCCATGGAGAGTTGTCCCACAGTGACTTGGCCATGGTGAGATGGCCTTGATGAGTTGGCTATGGTGAGTTGGCCGTGGAGAGTTGGCCGTGGAGAGTTGTCCCACGGTGACTTGGCCATGGCAAGTTGGCCATGGTGAGATGGCCTTGATAAGTTGGCTATGGTGAGTTGGCCATGGTGAGCTGCCCCATTCCAGCTGTGCCAATAGAATACGTTACATTAAATGATTAAGAATCAAAAGATGTTCCCTCCCTTTTGAAAACTTGAAATGGTCTTAGAGGAAGGGGCTGGTCTTCTTTTCAAATAAAGCTCCTTAATTCCCAGAGAAATTGGAAGGGTTGCCCCAGAGGCCTTGCAACCTTGGGCTTTTCATGTTTGAAACTAGCTTTCTTTTTTCTGTTTCCCCCCCCCCCCCCCATTATTTCTATTCTTACCCTCCTTCCTTGGGGTCATTCTCTATGCTGGTGCTCTGTCCCTCCTGCTCTTTTGTCCCCTTGACCAAATCTGCCTCTCCTTGACTTCCTGGGACTCCCCGTTTCACTCAACGTTGAAATGAAATATCTTCTCGCTCCCCCAAAGTGTTGATTTGTGTCATTTATTGATTTGATTTGATTTGTCAATCGCTTACAAGATAATAGATGTAAGTATAAACATGAGTAAGAATACAGGAAATAGGTACGAATAAATGGGGACAATAGGACAGGGACGGTAGGCGCGATGGTGCAACTTATGCACGCCCTTTAACAGACCTCTTAGGAATGGGGTGAGGTCAATAGTGGATAGTGGATTCCCAACTCTTGACGTCTTTCCTATCTCTTCCCTGTCACAGGTGACATCTTAGGCTCTGCCATCCAGAACGTGCACCAGCTTCTCCGGTTGCCTTCTGGCTGTGGGGAACAAAACATCGCCCTTTTGGCCCCCAATATTTACATCTTGGACTACCTGAACAAGACTGACCAGCTGACCGAGGAAACAAAGTCAAAGGCAATTGGATACTTAGTGGCTGGTAAGAAGATACCACAGAATTACGCCGAAGGGGCCCCTGTACCTGCTTCTCCTTTGCGGGGGGAGGCAGAACAAGAGGAATTCATGAATTCATTGTTTGATGCTCATCTTGCCACATATTGACTCTCAAGGAATTGTCTCTGATTGACAAGATTAATAATCAGGGTCTAATAGAAAGGATCAATACATATATCCGTCAAAAATGGTGTAGGGCGGTGATGGCGAACCTTTTTGTTGTGGTGTGTTGAAAGCACATGCACGCGCACATGCCAGCAGCCACAATGCAATGTCGTCGTCCCCCGCGCATGTGCGCGCAACACCCTGTTAGGCATCCAGAAATTGTCCATGGTAATCAATCACTCCGAGACAAGTATAATCTTCAATTGATTTATTAGGAACAGCTCTGGTACATCTACGGCAATTTCCAAAACTGAAACTCATTTCCAGCGCATCTCCCAAATTCCGCCCTATCTCCTCCCACTTACTATACTTCATAAATCACGAGAACCAATTAACTGCAGCTGGAATTTTTTAATGCGACATACTAAATAACCTTGGCTGTTCAGCTGGAATTTTTTAATGCGACATACTAAATAACCTTGGCTGTTCAACTCCCCCACACACACCCCTTGCATTGCATTTTTCACATTCTTGCGGCAGCTGAACTCAGAGCTGACACACCCCTGCCTCTCCCCCTTACCTGCACTGCCGGAAGTGCCCATTTCAGCCTCCGGAGGGCCTCTGGAGCCCAGGGGAGGCCATTTTCGCCCTCCTGGAGGCTCAAGGGAAGCCTCTGGAGCCTTGGGAGGCTGAAAACGGGCCCATTTCGGCACTTCCAGTATTTCCGGAAGGCCCATTTTTCGGCCTCCCGAGGCTGCAAAGGCTTCCCTCGAGTCTCCTGGAGAGCGAAAACAGCCTCAAAGGGGCTGAAAAACAGCTGGGAGACACAGGCATGCACAGTGCAGGTAAGTTTGGCTGAGGCTCGCATGCCTGCACAAATGGCTTTGTGCCACCTGTGGCAGGCGTGCCATAGGTTCGCCATCACGGCTGTAGGGTCTCCTGCTTGGGTGGCGGGGGGGAGGGGGTTGGACTAGTCACTAGATGACCTACAAAGTCCCTTCCAACTCTGTTAATCTGTATCTGTATCTGTATTCCTGCCAGTTTTGCAGGAAATGTGACCTTAGCTGAATTATCAGCAAACCATCGGCCTAATGATGAATTAAATTAATTTATAGTGGTCAATTTTGATAATTAATAGCTGCAAGTCCAGGATACGTTTTGCTTATCTTTTGACCCTATTTTCCATTTGGTTACAAAATGGAAAATAATAATAATAATAATAATAATAATAATAATAATAATAATAATAA